GAAGAGAAGAAACTGAGAAGACATCTTCTCAAAGTTAACTTCTCTTCTGATAAATGTATTCATGAAAGATAAAGAAGAGAAAGAAAAGAATTGATAATTCTCACATCTCTGAGTTTATATTACAATCACAATGTATATCTTGAATGAGAAGATATCAGTGAGATGTCTACTCAACTCTGAGATGAATATTAACTTCATATTCTATTTCTTTTCTTTGATGAAGAATTGAAAGAAGATAGATCTGTCAGATTATATGAAATTTACTGATGAAATAAAATATCACTATTTTAACATAATTTAAGCAAAGTGTGTAGCTACAGACTTAGAAGAAATCTTTAAGAAGAGCAGTCTGCTTCTTCACACAGTTAATATTATAGATGAGAATATTATTCTAGATCTTCTATAATTGAGAGAAAATAATTCTCTCATTGACTGAGTCACTTAGATATAATGATATCATCTCACTGATGAAGAGACAGTGATAGAGAAATCTGAAGAGTTTTATCAGAAAAATCTTAAGAAAAAGATTGAGTTGATATACTGTGTAGCAGGTGATTAAGACTTGAGAACAGATGAAGAAGTCATCACTCTTACTGCAAGATTAGCAGCAGTATCTGTCATTGAAGATGAATGTACACAATGTCTCTTTACAGATTTTAAGAATATCTTTTCAGAAAGAAAAGTAGTTAAGTTTTCTGATATCAAGATATAATATAAGATTTATCTTGAAGACAGTGTAATAATGCTGTACAGATCTCTTTATAACTTATCTGTAAAGAAATTGAATGTTCTGTGCAAATATCTTGAAGAAGTGCAATTAAAGAACTGAATATATTTATTAAAGAGTTCAGCAGAGACATCTATACTCTTTGTACTCAAGAAGAATGATAGATTACATCTATGCATAGACTACAGAGATCTTAATAAGATGACAGTTAAGAATCACTATTCATTACTGTTGATTGACAAGATAATTGATTGATTATCTGAAGTAAAGATGTTCTCAAAGATTAATATACAGAATGTCTATCATAGAATCAGAGTTAATAAAGATAATATTTGAAAAACAGCTTTTCATACTAAGTATGACAATTTTGAATATCTTGTTTTATTTTTTAATCTTTGTAATGCTTCAGCCATCTTTCAGATCTATATAAATAAGACACTGCAGGGCCTTGTTAATGTCTTCTGTATAGTATACTTAAATAATATTTTAATCTTCTCAAAAACAGAGAAAGAATATAATACTCATATTTAAGAAGTGTTGAGTTGCTTGAGACAGTATTAACTCTATATAAACACTGAAAAATGCTTGTTCTACATGCAGGAGATTAATTTCTTAGATTATATTATTGAGATGAATAACATTTCAATGAACAGAAGTCAGGTCTCTATCATTGAGAACTGATCAGTACTGTGAATGTATTATGAGATGCAGATATTTCTAGAATTTGTGAATTTCTACAGATGATTTATCTATGTATATTCATGAATTACTGTTTCTCTTACAGATCTGTTAAAGAGAAGTGTGAAAGACAGAAAAATAAGACTGTTTATTCTCACTCAAGACATCATACAGATGTTTACAGAATTGAAACAAGCTTTCACAGATATTATAATACTGAATTACTTTGATTTCAACTTATTCAGTTAGTGTGAGACTGATGTATCTGAAAATGAGATCTGTGAAATCTTTTCACAGTTAACACTGAAGATCTTTCAATATTAAAAGAATCAGAGAATAATCATCTCTGAAGAAACAGATAATGAATTATCTATGAAAGAAGACTTTTTTACAGAGTCTATAAGATACTGTGAATGAAGATCAGTGATCTTCTTCTTCAAGAAGTTATCATTTATACAGAGAAGATATAATACTCATGATTAGAAGATATTAGTAATTATTGAATTCTTTAAGATCTGATAATATTATCTTCAGAGTAGTAAGTACTCAGTGTAAGTTCTTACAGATTATGTAAATCTGTGTTACTTCTTGATAATAAAGAGCTTGATAGAATATCAAGTCAGATAAGTGAAGCTGCTTTCAGAGTATAATTTCTATATTCAATACTGTTCAGATCAGCTTAACTCTGCTGATATACTGTCTAGATAATCTGATTATAATATTGTTAATATGAAGAAGAATTCTATAAAAGAACCTCTGTCATCACTGTAGAAGAAGCTGACTGCAGAGAGTTGAGATTCTCTGAAGCTCAGAAATAATGCTGAAGAGACAGCTGTGTGACTTAGTATAAAAGATGAAAGAAAACTCAGATCTCTGCAGAGAACTGACACTGAAGATTATAAGCTTCTTATATTATATCTTATAATCATTGAATTGATAAAGAATGAAATAATCTATAATCTTTTAATCTAACTACTTTTGAAATTCATTAATAAGTTACAGAAGAGAAATATCTCTACTACAACTTAAATTCAGAAGTTGAAGAAGAAAGAATTCAGTTTAAACTTGAAAGAGATAGACTCTGAGCAGAGTGATACTGTTAAGAAATCAAGTCACTGATAACTAGAAGAATATAAACTTCTACTACTGAATGATTCAGTCTTTATCTCTTGTAGCAGAGCAGTGTGTTAGAAGTTATTAAGAATTCATTATAACAATTTCCATGTAGAACACTTTAGATTAGAGAAGACTGAGAAGCTTTTAAAATGTAAATATATTTAAAACAAGCTTCAGACAGATGTCAAAGAGTATATTAAAACTTATAATATCTATCAAAGAATAAAGATTTCACAGTATAAGTAATACAGTGAGTTAGTATCACTGTCTATTTTAAAGAGCTTATAGCAGAATCTATTAATAAATTTCATAGTTGATCTGCTGAAGTTGACAAGAGTCAAAGAATATGACTCAATTTTAATCATTATTAATTACTTTATAAAGATGACTAGATATATTTCTACTTATAAAAAGATTAAAGCCTCTGAATTAACTGACCTGTTTTTAGATATCATCATTTATAATTACAGTGCTCTGAAATTATTAATAATAGATTGAGAATTCCTCTTCATCAGTAAATACTGATTGACTTTTTATTATTATCTTATAATAAGATGTCTTCTCAGTACTGTATTTCATTCACAGATTAATAATCAGACTGAATACTAGAATCAGATACTAGAATAGCATCTTTGAGTATTCTGTTTATATTATTAGAATAATTGACTCAAACATCTTCTAATCACTGAATTCATATATAATAATGTAAAGAATGTAATCTTAAAGATATCTTCTTTCTATACTTGTTATAAATATAATTCTTTATTATTCAGTGATGTTGTAAATGATATTCTGAAGAGAAAGATAGACAGTCAGAATATCAAATAGATACAGAGAATAAAGTATTTCTCAGTATTAAAAGTAAAAGTAAGATTGAAACTTTTGAATAAAATTTATAAGAAGATAATAAAAAGTATTCACTATATTCAGAAATAATAGATAGAATACTATAATTGAAAACATCTTTCAATGAAGTTCTTGATAGAGAATTAAGTACTACTTTCAGTAAAGAATATCAAGACAATGAGATTATATAAGAAGCTCAGTGAGTGATGACTAGAACTTTTCTCAGTAATAAGAGTAATAAGTAAGCAGATATATAAGTTAAAATTACTTACAGAATTGAAATCAATTCATTCTATTTTTCACATTTTCTATTTGAAGCTCTATAAGCAATATCTCAGAACAGAGCTGTCTCAGTCAAATAATATTAAGATTGAGAGTGATATTAAATATCTTATGAAGAAAATATTGAATAAGTGAATATATTACAGTAAGCTTCAATATCTTATTAAATAAGAAAATTATTCATTATCAGAGAATTCATGAGAACTGCTTAAGTATTTGAAAAATGCTGAGAAAGAGATTGCAAGCTATAAGATAGCTAGTAGAGACTGTCTCATTATATATCAGAGATATTGAGCAAGAAATACTGTTTAAAACTTCTTATTTTTCTTAAAGAATTTTTTAGAGATAATCTTATAGTAATAAGCTAATATCTTATAGACTCTATAGCACTCTTCTTCTATTTTCTCTTAAAGAGTTTTTAGAAGTTTAATAAGACTATATAAGTGTAAAATTTCTGAAGCAGTTAAAAGAAAAGAAATATTTAAAATTAATAAAAAGATTAATATTATTGATCTGCAGACTGCTGCTATTCTAATAAGACTATAATTCACTGAAAAAGTAAAAAGAGAGACTGAGATCTACTCATTAATAATTACATTCTCATTAAACTTATTTTTCACTGTTAGAGTCTCTGATACTGATATCTTTATCTGCTGAGAAGTTAGTACTGCAGCACTGTAGAAGAGTATGAGAAATATATAAAATATTAACTTATCAACTTATAAAGCATCTCAGTTATCTGCTTCAATTGAAGTGAGATTCTCTTCAATTAGTAATTAATCTCTATAATACTTTTAATAGTGATGTCAGCTGATCTCTTCTTAAGATCAGTCATTCTGAGATGTTTTTTCATCTTAAAGATTCATACTTTTATCTTCTTTTATAGATGAGTAAGAGAGACCTTCTCAGTCTTAATAAAATCTATCAATACTTAAAGCTCTGAGACTCTCACTCTGTACTGCTTAAGTATCTGAGCTTCTTATCAGAGCTGATACAATATCTTCTTATAAAGTAGATAATACTTACAGAGAGATAGAAGTTATTATTACAGATATAATAAAAATAACAGAAGTAAGAGAAGAAATGAGTGTATAAAATTCTTCTCTTCTTCAGCTGCTTAGTACAGTGTAGATAGATAATAATATTAGTCAGAAGCTGTATCAGAGCCTCTTTATAAAAAGAAGATAAAGAAATTATAGAATTCTGTAGACTCAACTCAGTAGTATTCTGAGCAGGGCTCAGACATGCTACAGAAGAGAAACTACAGATTAAGCTTCTCAGAGTCACTGTTTCTGAAATCAAGCTCTTTCTGAGATTCTCTCTGAATAATCACACAGAGTTATATATTATCATGTTGATTGAGAGAGGGGGCGGTGTTGTAACAGCAGTGAAAGAGGCAGAGAAAGAACTGAACACAGATGAACTGATCAGCAGAAGAGATGACATCTCACTGCAAGACACAGTGACTGTCATCACAGTCACAAGAGAAGCAGGAGAAGAAGAAGAAGAAGATGTGATAATGAGAGTGATGCTTCTGCAGTTCATTGATATCACTGTCTTCACCTCTAACTGAGCTTTCTTAACAGTCATAGAGATCACAGTCACATCACAAAGATGTTTACTTACTAGAGAATATCAGAATAAGTTCTTTATTATTCTTCAAGAATAATACTCTCATACACTTACTGTTACAATTGAAGAGAGAGAGAAGAAAAATATTTCATAGAGAGAAGAATCTTTTTAAAAAAATTCTATTACTACTGTTAACTTTATCTCTAAAATACATTACTTTTACAGAGAATTTTATATATAGAATGAAATATGATGAGAGATCTGTAAGTCACTTATTAACTATGTTTTTCTCATCTTAAATTGATATATAAGAAACTCACTTATCATATGTTTGATTTGAATGAAGATGAATAAAGAAAGATTTATACAGTCAGCAGAAAAACTCATCTATTTCTTTATATCATACACAGTATATGCACTATTAATCAGTTGATAATTATTATTATATAACAAAGATAATTTCTAATCTGATAATTTTAAGAGTATAGAGACTATACTCTTAAAGAGAAGAGTATTATCATACTTTCAGCTATATTAAGACTCTGTTATAATTTCATATAACTTATCACTTTCATGTGAATAATTTCATTCTGTCTGAACCAGTTTTCAATCACTTTATAATATTATTCAGATATATTATAGAAAGATCTGATTAATAAATATAAGAACTCTGCTTTTATATAAGATCAGCAGATTACTTTTTCTTGATAGTAAGATACTGTTAAGGTATTACTCTGACTATTCTTACTTATAAAATGAGAGAAGATATTCACTTATTATCTATATAAAATAACTAGATGCTGGCTTCTCATGAAAGAAGGCAGTGATTTGTTTTTCTTCTACTAAAATATATACAAGAGTTACTGTGTGTCTTATACAATCTTCTTAGTATACTAAGTATTATATCTGTGATATTCTTGCAATAACTCTGTAGCCTACAAGCTCACTATTCAAGCAAGATAGTCAAGCTTACTTATACAGCTTTCTAAACAACTATCTCTACATGTTACTGCTGACTAGTCACTGCTTCGGTTCCGTCACATTACATCAGCTTATAGAGTCTTTTAACTTATTCTCTAGATAGATCTTGAGAACAGACTAGTAAAATCTCTTATAATTATTCTTTAGATAATTCAGTCAGTTCTTGACTTCAGTATAGTAAAGATCTGTTATTATATAAATAACAGCTTCTTTATCTTTTATATTACACAGCTAAGCTTATAAGTTAATTTCAAATACAAACTTGTAAAAGCTTTTATAGATTGTGATTCAATAAGTAATCTTAAGTAATTATAACTTAAGAAAGTTTCTTTTCAATTCATAGATGTCTCTGAAGATTATATCTAAAGACTTAGTTTGAGAGTGTTTACAGACAGTAAGCATTTCTTATAGAAAAATAGCTTAATCTTATAGAAAATACTCAAGAATGTTCTTCACTGAGATTAATTTATTTATGAATTTGAAGAGTTTCTCTGTCACAGATGTAGAGAATAATATTCTATAAATAATTGATAAGTTCTTTAAGACTTCTTTTATAAGAGTTATTTATAATTCAGATAACTGCTTCTGAGTGTTTATAGTAGAGTTCACAGAGATTGAAGTATATAAGTTTCTAGTTCTTTCAGTTATAATAGACAGTTACTGACTGACTGAGCTTGAAATGTAAGAATAAGTACTCACAGATGATTATTTAAGTGTTTACAGCTTGATATGATATATACTATTAACTACTAGAAGTATTCACAGTAGAAAGATAAAATATAGAGATTAAATATATAATAGTATTCAAGCTGAGTTATGAATAGTATTTATGAACTTCAGTTCATATAGTTGTATATAGTCAAGAGCTGCTAACTCTATTAATTATATAAGAGATAGAAATAGAGATAAAGAATCTGTAAGAAGTGAGATTTCTTACAAATTCATATCTTTAAAGACAGTTATAACTCACTGTTTATATTCTTCTTCTTCTTAAAATTCAATCTTATTAAAGTTATAGATATCATAGTAAAAAAATTAATATTAATTAAAGACAGTTTTATATTAATTAAATTAGTTAATAATGAAGCTTATATTCTTATAAAATACTTATTTTAAATTTATAAGTTTTTACTTGATTTATTTATAATCTGACAGATATTTAATAAATTAATATATTTATATCTTACTTACTGTGAGAGATGCAGTCTCTGAATCTGTATAATACTGTCTTAACATGCAGTTCATAGCAGCTTTGATATACTTAATAGTAAGTGAGTAAAAATTAATATTTAACTGATGAATTTATATCTTAATTATCTCTTTCTGACTGTTATTCAATGCTTAATTCAGTGAAATTCTTATAGTTCTTGATTTCTTTCTGTTGATTCTCTCATATAAGATAATATATAAGACTTTGAATTCTCATGATAGAGATATGATTTTTAATTTTAAATTACTTTTATATATGTTAACAGCTCTTTACAACTGCTTCTCAGTGTAATTAGAAGATTTAGACATGATTATAATTAATAATGATTATTTGAAGATGAAGAATGAAGATATTGAAAATATTTTCTTTACAGTGTGGTTTTCTGTACACTGTGGTGCACTCACTACAGAGAGTGAGTAAGCATGGCACAGTTAATAGCTGTCTGCCGCCCATTACGCTACGTTATGTAATAAACATGTCCCGTCCCATTCCCTTCCCCTTCTAAGATGCCACGAGCGCAACCAGAAACTAGATACGGTTCTCCTCCAACGGATCAGGCAGTTTGAAAGGTTGACAGGCAATAAATCACCCAAAGCCCCCGCATCTATCTATGTATGTACGGAGTAGCCTGTTCCCAGTCCTTTTCCCTTGTCCTGCAGCGCAGCCCCAGGGGCCACGAAAAAGTAAAAATAACACGCAATGATGCAGCGCCGTCCAGTAGAATAACTAACTACCCAATTCACCCACCCAATCGTTCATCAATCCCCTGTCCTCCACAGGCCTCTCTTGAGGTTCCCTTGAATTGTTGAGTCCACCTTATTTGTAACTTCCCCAACTCACTCATGTGTTCTATATTTTTTGTATTTTTTTTATTTTCCCCTCGCTTTTTTCAACATTTTTTGAATTAAACCAATGTATGTATGTACAGTACAGTACAGTACAGTACAGATGTCTGTAGACATTTGTGCTCTCCTCCTTGATGAGGCCATATCCATTGATAAATTTCACCAGTTCCTTTTCTTCCGTTAATGATTTCTTTCTCTCTTTGCTTTTCTTTATCTCTTTATCTTTGTTCCCCCCATTGGCTCCCGCGCTCGGTTTCCAGAGCGGGGTTTGATGTCAATACGCAAGCACCGATGATGTATCTAACGGTTGGTGTACCACACTGTACCACACTACACTGCACCGCGGTTCGCGAAAAAAAAAAAAAAAAAAGAAAAGAAAAGAAAATACCAACGTATACGGAGTACAGTGTATGTTGGTTGGTCTTTCCTTTGTCAGTATTGTCGCTCTTTCACGAAGATTTTCGACGACCTCGTGGTCCGTGGGTCGGCAAAGCGTGATGAGGCTGAAAATCATCAAATCACACTTTTTTCCAGGGTGGAACTCCTGTACCCAAGGGGAGGCAACGACTGGAGGGTGGGGTGGGATGGACGGGGTTTTCTCTGTTGTGGAAGGGCACCTTCGGTAATAATTCATTATCGCCGTTGGGGAGGGATTGATAATGCTTTCTGTATTATTTATTGAAAGAGATATAGCCGTGATACACAAAGGGAACTGAAGATTTGTTTACATTAAATAAGCTTCGATGGATTCATGGGACTTAAAATCTTAGCCCTATTAGGGATATAGATATACTCCGTATATATATACATCTACCTATTGAGACGCGCGTATGTATTTCTGAGTAGGTGAGGATGAATGGGATATATTAGCCGCTTGTTTAATAAAATATTGGAGATAAAATTGGAAATTTGAACAGGGTATGGAGTGTTGGAATCAATACTTATCACACCGAAATGGAAAGAAAAAAAGGAGACCATCATAACGTCTGGAAATAAAGCCGAAAACAAGATAAAAAAGAAAATACTCAAGCGTAAGCAATGCAACAGGATTAGGAATGCATTCGAATGAGAAGGAGATTGGAACGGTTTTTGAAATCGTTCTTGAATTTGGAGTGGTTTCGATCAGGTTAGTCAGGGTCAAGATCGTGCTTTGAAAATGAAAGATTGGCGAGGGGCCGTCGCGTCTGCTGTGACTACAGTACATGATACATGTCAAAGGTAAAAGCCATATAGAAGCGCTGAGAAATTGAAAAAGAGATAATCCTTCCCGCTTTCGCTATTCATATCAAAGCCTGTTTGCAATATTCATGATCCGATTGACTTGTAAAAGAGAAGATAGGTATTAGGAAAAGAACATGTCCCATCCCATCTCCTTCCAAAATAAGAAATAGACTTCAGAAACCTGTTTTTGTTTTTGTTTTTGTATTTTCTTTTCATGATTGTTTCCCCTCCCCCCCTTTCTCCCCCCCATTACTCCAACGGCCTGCGTTAACTTAGGTAAACGCAGGGTTCACACAATAAAGTATTTAGAAGGCAAAGATGGCAATAGCAGCGGCAACAACGATGCCACCAATGGCGGCACCGTTGCGGCCGGCAGCACCCTCCTCAAATGGTGGTTGGCTTGGTGTCGGGCTGGGGGCGCCTGGGTAACCGGAAGGAACCGGTCCTGATGGGATAGGAGTACGAGCCTTTGTGGGTGGGCAAATAGTAGTTGTGCCAGTGGAGATAGGAACTAATGTACGAGTAGTAGTGGTGGTAGGATATCCAGTAGCAACGTCTGTGGGAGTAGGAGTGGGAGTATAAGATGGCTCGTCGGTGGGCTGGTCGGTGGGCTGTGGACTGCCGTCGTTCTTAATGCCGAATTGGGTAGAGTATTGGTAAAAGCCGACTCCCTCAACGACAAGCAGGATGCCGTAGTGCGTGACGTCGTCCTCGAGATCGGTGGAGGGGGTCCATTCATAAGAACCAGTGTTGGGAATAGTGTCAGCGATGACACCGATTGGCTTAACGTTGGTGCTGGGGCCGCGCAGGAGAATGAGCGAAACTTCGCCGTCAGTGGTAGGTGTCCATTTGATGGTGTATGGCTCTCCAACTGGTACAATCTCGTTCAAGCCTGGCGAAGCAATGGGGTTGCCGAATGGGGGTTGTGAGTAGTCAGGGTCAGTGGCAGCAGCTGCGAGAGCCGCAAAAGCAGCGACAACGGCCCCGATGAACTTCATATTCGCGATTGCGTTTGAGAAGTTTTGAGAAGAGTTATTGAATAAGGTATATCGCGACGATACACTTCTGGATTGTGGGGTAAGAATTAAACGATTTTGGAACAGAAGTAGATCCGTTTTTTTTTTTCCTGTGAAAAGAGTGACTAGAGCCTGAAGTAGGACTCTGAATGTAGAAAAAACGAGAGGAAATCCGCGTGGGAAGGAAAAAAGAAGGTGAAGGAGTGAGAAGAAGGAGTAGAAGAGGAGGAGAAGAAGAGGAGAAGAAGAGGAGGAGAAGGAGCGAAAGAAAAGGGTCAGCAGAAGAGGCTGCAGCAGCCATCGTAACGTAACCCAGTTGATAACAGTGTATTATTGCCGATACCATTGTTACGCCACGAGTTTACCGCTAGCAGGGTTATCGTACTTGCCTAGTCATGTCATCGCATGACAGGTGCGCGCTACGGCTACTCTAGGCGTAGTGGGGAAACGGGGGTGCCTGGCACTAGGCCAATTGCAGTTAGTTCCCATTCATAACCGAAATTGCACGACATCTCGGCTCGGCAGATTTTGGGTGGATTTAGGCGGAAGTAAGTGTCACTTCCAGGTACCAGCCCAGACAAAAATCTGTGTGAATTCGCACATCACAGCTGCAGAAGTAACCTTTCTGTTATCTATCCCTATTGGCGCACCAACTTAGCTGCCATGCCATAGCATGCCAAGGCTGTCCAGGAAACCGTTCTGGAGCGCTCGCCCATTGATACCATACCGGACTTTCTCTGGCGGTAACTTAAATTTGTTCGTGGCTCGTCCAGTTAAAAGCCACCAACAGAAGCCATCTTGAGAGTTTCATTTCAGCCAAATAAACCGTTGCTCGAGTATTTGCCCAATCAGCGGACGCTTGAGTCTCTCTCATCCACTAGGCATTTCAAAACTGCTTCGATATAAAAGTAATATTCGCCAGGACATTATTCATGCCGAAATTCATTGAAGGTTAGGTAGTTGTACGTAGTAAAGCTACCTCACTCTAGATCTAGACAATATGGATGAGAGATATTCCCAGCTGTAGGAACATCATTGCCGGCTGCAAAAACCTCCGAAGTACTTCGTACTCCGTAGTTATCACCGACATCCCCCGCTAGCTAGCTCTAGATTTTCTCACGCAAAAGAAATGTCTCAGTCATGACCTCCCGTCTGAATCTTCCGCTGACAGCCCCCCTGTCCCAAGCAACAGATATAACTCGGCGCTTATGAAGCTATCTCAATTAGTTAAATTGAATTTTCATGACTCAGGGTCTTTGTTCCCTCCTGTCAAGGGGCATCCTTGAGTGCCACTGCTGATGGCTTGTTTCGAAAAAAGATTGCCGTCAACGGCCGATGTGAGAAATAAGGCGACAGCTGCCCGGAAGCGAGAGTGAAAACCTTGGAATTCCCGACCGACTCTGGGAAGAAAATAATAATGGGTTTGCGACTAACCCGACTTTGAAAGACGCACGGGATCGTTTATCACAAGCGCCTCTCCAGCTCTCATCGTTGTGGAGACTGGATAGGAAAGAAAAAGCAAGGAAGGACGGTCTTTGGCAGAAGCCCGCCTCCACACCAGAATCCCTTGAGCCTCAATATCCCCAGTCGCTCAATCACAGGCCACAGCCTGACAGGGTTCCAAAGCTAATAAGAGAAGCTTGTAATATAAATCTGTCGTACGGAGTATTCAAATACAACTCCTGGTGACTTGTGGGGGAACAATTGCTCCACGGCTGGGCATTTAGATGCTTCTGATGGCCACGACGTGGGGGCTTGAAGTGAGAGCTCATGGCGCGATTTCATCATGTGTTTCCATCCCAAGCTTTCAAGCTGCACCTTGACAGAAAAGATGTAGATGGCTTCAACGAAAGGCGTGCTAGTATCAAATCACAAGTCCTAGGTCGGGTCGAGAAAAATTCAAAAATCCTGTCGGCAAATTATTAAAAGTGTGAATGACGGCAAATCAAATTGCAATGAAAAATTTTATTCTTGGCGCTGCCACGGTTGATCCTTGGTGCCGGGGGGTTGTATTGTATGTAACGCTGATACATAATACATACCAGACAGGCAACGCTAGCACTGCATAAAATGACTCTCAGGCTAACGTGGATGCGGAATGAGCATGAACAAAATAATAATATGGACCGCTCAGAGCGCGTCGGCGGTTGCCCCTGGGTCACTCGCCGACGACCAATGCAGAAAAAGAAAAAAAAAAACAAAACCTCTAGCCAGGATATTTAAAATATTCTCTTCTGCCTTTACAGCGTAGTTCGACTCTGTGTCTGCAGGATCTCAGCACCTTGGCTCTGCCCTCTGCTCTCGGATCGCAAACATACGCAGTAAACTTCACGTTCACTATTATTAGAAACAGGGGATCGAGTTGACCGCGGCTTGGCGGATATTCTTTCAGTTCAATTTCGAAAGTAGTGAAATGAACCGCAATGCGAATGCGGCCGGAGTCAAAAAAAAAAATAAGAATAGGATTCCTATGTCCGGATTAAATGGTAAAAACATTCCTACTCCACTCCTTGATAAATCCGAGCTTATCGACAAGCTTTTTCATTTTGATTCAAACATTCGCCCGCTGCTTCAGTAAATAATGGAGAACGGGGATTGCCTACCCTACCCATGTGGCAGCCCATCCCAATGCCCAATTATTATTAATGTTACCGCTCTGTGCAGCGCCTCCAGACAGCACCTGAAAGGGAGGCTGCTTGGTCGCCCGAATGCGGTAGCTCTGTTTGAATAGTGACCTGTGAGTTAATGTCTTTCACTTTAGACCATTGTTGTTTATTTCCATTCTTCTATATATATATCTATATATATATATATATATGTATTTGCCTGGCTTGATGCTCATGCATGCACCACGAAGCATGCGGCCCGAGGCTGCAGTTGCCAATGGATTTTCTTTTTACCAGCACTTCTATTTACATCATCCTTACAAAAGTCCACGGGTGTGGGTGGACCAAAACCCTTTATCTGAATACCAATATGCAATATGCTCCCCAAAAAAATTATGTTTTGGATGAGATCCCGCTCCCATATATGCCATAAATTTGACAGCTATACATGGATATCCTTCGGTGTGGTAAACGTAAAATGATATGGGATGGCAGTGCACGTCTCTCTACACATCCATCCACGTAACAGATTTTGTCGTAAGGAACTCATCCAAGGCTGCGGGGCCACCGAAACGGCCGAAACCGCTACACTTCACACCTCCATGTGGCAGACCAGGTTCGTCATGGACGGTCATGGAGTTGATATGCACGGCCCTGTTATCAAGCGGAGAGAGACAAAGAAAAAGTGGCAATGAGCCCCCCTGACCAGAAACCAAAAGTGTAGCTAAGGATAAAGGATATAAAAGGAAACAGAAAGAAGGGGAACACGTACCCAGATTCCAGCTGCTTTGCAACGCGTAAACCTCTGCCCAAGTTCTCCGTATATACGGCTGCACTGAGCCCGTACTCAGTATCATTAGCGAGCTGGATGGCTTCCTGTTCGGTGTCGACGACGTACAGCGATACGGTCGGGCCGAAGGATTCGGTGTGGTAGATGTCCATGTCTGGGGTTATACCTTCGAGGATGATGGGATGCATTCGCGTGTTGTTTGGTGTTTCCTCGGTGCTGGTATTATCGCCGACTAAAATGTTTCCGCCTTTGGATACGGCGTTTGAGACGAGATTTCTGTTTTTAATGACGGGCGCGGCGCTTACAAGGACGGGAGGAGGGTTGGAGTTGCTTGTAGCCATGGTTTCGCGGAGGTGGTTGCGGAATTCGTCGATGACGGATCGTTGGACAATTATGCGCTCGGTAGACATGCAGATTTGGCCTCCCTATAATCGATTATTAAGTTTATTATTTTGTCAATAATTTCTTGTACTTTAAACGTGTACAACCCTGTCCGTGAGGAGTGATTCTTTGGTATCTTTGAATGTTGGGAGTGACCAAGGGACGAAAAGGGGGTCTAGCCATACATGTAAAAAGGAGCCCATCACACAACCAGTTGCGGCCTTTTTCAAGTCCGCATCATCCAATACGATTGTACTGGCCTTTCCGCCAAGTTCGAGCAGCACTGGCTTAATATATTTGCCCGCAGTGGAGGCAATTATTCTTCCAACCTGAGTGCTGCCGGTAAAGTTGATCTTTCGAATAGCAGGATGTGCGATCAATGCAGTCGTGATTTCCGCCGCACTCGCTGGCCGGTGATAGAGGACATTAAGACAACCGGGAGGTAGTTGGGCTTCACGAAAGATATCCCCAAGGGCCCAGAAACACTTCGGGGAGAGCTCGGAGGCCTTCAGTACGACAGTGTTACCAGCTGCCAGCGGTAGAACGATTGATCGCAGACCCAAAACGAACATCGCGTTCCTGTAGAATTGCATAATGATTAATATACCAAGGTGTAAAAAATAAATCCACACAAGTAGATAAATAGAAAATAACTATAAATACCACGGGGCAATGCTAAGAATAACCCCATAAGGTTCTTTATACACGATGCCACTCTGGCCTTCATCCCTCATAACAGGTACTGTGCCTGCTGTCGAAAGCGTCCTTCCAGTTACATCTTTCAGCAGGTTATGACCGAGGCCCCAATTGAATTCAGCAAACATCCGACTCGATCCTGTCTCTTCTTGCGCATATCCTATAAGTTCCTCTTTGCGTCGTTCGTAAATCTCAATTACTTTTAAGAAGATATCACGGCGAGCAGAAGGTTTCACTTTGGCCCAGCTCTTGAAGGCAGCGTTTGCGGAATCAACAGCACGCACTGCATGGGCTACAGAAGTAGAGCTGCATTTGTAAACAACCGCTCCGGTATTTGGGCTGATGACGTCGAAAGAGTCAGCTGTAATAACAGGCTGGTTGTCAAGAAGAAGGGGTATTGTGCTCAAGGCCATATCTCGCTAGTTTCCTGCTGCGGTATAGATGGATATTTATAGCTGGGTATCTTGCTCTTGGAGTTATGGCGACAAAGTAAGTTTAGAGAGAGAAATCACCATTTAATCCCAAAGAAATTGTTATCAACTAAAAAAAAAAAATCTGAGCAGACAAGGAGCAGAGCAGACAGATTTAAATCCATGATTACAGCAGCCTATACGGAGTAGTGACATTTTTGAGTCAAATGGATTTTTTTCAGTGTAAAAGCTTAATTCCACATAATACTCATTATATAGACACACACCAAGTCCACTAGTTCTAATATAATTAGTATATTACTCTACATGATTTTGGCTTTCAGACTCTCCTTCAGGATCTAGAGCTTGATTACTAATACAATCAGTAACTATCATTGATGCGTGCTCATTATTGTAATGCTGGTACGGACAGTGTAAAATATCTATTTGACCCAAAGGGTTAAGTTACTTATTACTAACTTACTACGAGTGAGGGGCTTAAGGTTTCAGGATTTGCGGGAAAGCGGCGCAACGCAACGGGATGGGAGACGGGAGCTTAACCCGGCATCCATATACGGATACGCAGCGTAGAGTCTAAATAAAATATACGATGGAGCCCTCATTATTCGTGGTGACTTGAGAGCACAATGTCGTCTTAATAATAATGAATCGTTGATGGTACCGATCCTAAACTCAGCATGCAAAATATAAACATGAGTAGCGAAATATAAACCTTGGAATGGAATAGGAGGATACTCTTGTCCTCTGATGACTGTAGAATAAGATATATCAGACGGTAAATACTGCGGATGGCCCTCTCACAATCTTGCCGCCTATAGGTTAGGGATTTAGGCTACTACTCCCATGGATCGTCCAAGATAGTTTACTGTGTTCCCTAATGGGACATTATTATCATTCCTAAATATAGGTTGCAAAAGACCTCGGGCAAGACGTATATATTATCATGATCGACTCGGCCAGAGTCTTCTGCCTCTAATGATGCATGATACTCCTGGCTAGCCACAGCCTAAAATTCAATGCCAGCTGGGTCTATTCAACCAGCGGCAAGGATGGTCTCCCACTGACTCCCACTGACTGCCACTGCATTTCTTTCAAGGCCACAACTCCTTTGCGAAATCCGAGCATCATCACTTCGCTGGATTCTATTATATTCTCTCCCGCCCTTGGCCATGTCTATGCAGTTGAGATCACACAGTGGCGTCCAGTAGTCGAAGTTTTCCACAGCTACCATAGACTGTGTGACGCCTTCGTGGTGATATTATTGTTGGAATTGGCAAAATGCGTGCCGTATCCAGAACTGAGGGGAAATAGAAGGAAAAAGAAAATACCAATTGGGTAACCGCCTCATCGTAGTCCGCTGGTTGCTGAAATCCCAACTCCTGTACGGAGTTGCGGGGGTTCCGGAATGATATCCTTTCCTAAATGTCGACCAACCGTGTTGGCCAACCATTTAGATATGGAAACAACTGTTCAGTAACTCAACCTTTTCTTGACTCGATCTTCAGAAACTGTTTATCATTTTCCTGATTTGACATTTGGGGCATTCCCAGGCTAACTATGACCCCCTATGCAGCTTCCTCCTGTTCTACACGTACTTAGCATGGGGAAGATGTGCTACATTATAAAGCTGCCCATGGCTGCTTTCCTCCACACTGCTTTTCTCTACTGAGAGATTCTCTCCCTATCTTCTAGTTGTTTTCGCCAGTGATAGATGGCGACACTTAAGCCTTTCAAGCTAGTCTTCGCTTGCTTTTTTCTCGCATGGGTGTTCATGGCATCTGCCACGCCTCATGCTGCCCCGCCTCACCTTGCATCCCGCGAAAACAAGGAGTGGATCTATGGCGTGAATCTGGGCGGGTGGCTTGTCCTGGAGCCATGGATAACGCCTTCTGTCTTCGAAAATGCAGGGGATCGAGCAGTGGATGAGTACACCCTGAGCCAAGTTCTCGCCGGCAATGCCAAATCACGACTATCGAAACATTGGAACTCGTGGATCACTGCAGAGGATTTTAAGCAGATTGCAGCGGCGGGATTGACTCATGTCAGGATCCCCATAGGTTACTGGGCGGTAGCTCCCCTGAAGGGAGAGCCATATGTCCAGGGCCAAGTTGGCTATATGGATAAGGCGCTTAGATGGGCCAGAGAATCAAACCTCAAAGTTGCAATTGACCTTCATGGTGGTTAGTTATTAAAAATTTTAGCTCCTAAATATAGTTGAAGGTCAATCCCCATTCACTGACTCGGTATCACGGTTTAGCTCCGGGCTCCCAAAACGGCTTCGACAACAGTGGTCGCCGTGGTCCCATCAACTGGCCAAAGGGGGAGACAGTAGCCCAAACCCTGAATGCCGTTCGCGCCCTCGCAGAGCGTTACGCCCACCAAACCGACGTCGTGGACTCCATCGAAATTATCAACGAGCCCTTCGTGCCGGGTGGTGTACCGCTCAGCCAAGTCAAAAGATTCTATCACGATGGCTATAAGATCGTGCGGAACGCAAACCGCAACGTCGGCGTTGCAATATCCGACGCTTTCCAGGACCCCCCTTCCTGGAACGGTTTCATGCTCCCATCTCAAAATTTCCACAATGTCCAACTCGACGTGCATCACTACCAAGTCTTTGACAATGCGCTTGTAAACTTCAACGTAGACCAACACGTCAACCTTGCATGCTCGTTTGGACGTGAAAAGCTCGCGAAGACGGATAAAAGGACTTTTGTTGGGGAGTGGACCGGCGCCATGACCGATTGTGCCAAATATCTTAATGGAAGGGGTATGGGGGCGCGGTTTGATAAGTCGCATCCCAACGGCAAGCCCTCGGGCGCTTGTGGTGGGAGGTACTTTGGCTCCGTTGGACGGCTTCCTGCTCAGCAAAAAGCGGAGATCAGACGGTTTCTTGAGGCTCAGCTGGACGCTTATGAAAATTGTGCGGGGTGGTTCTTCTGGACGTGGAAGACAGAAGGGTCGCCTGAGTGGGATATGCAGGACCTCTTGTCAGCAGGCTTGTTCCCACAGCCTTTCAGGGATAGAAAGTACGGTGGTTGCAAGTGATGGATTTGCAATGTTTTTTTTTTTGGGGGGGGGGGGGATGTTGAAGTGAACAATTATATACATTCGAAAATTTTAATTTTTGCGCTGCATACGTTTAATAGAAGTCATTGATCTATCTTATTATTTGCCATCCATGTACTCCTCCGTTGCATGGAAATGGGGATGTGGTTATCTAGACGACACATTGTTAGTAAAACTATTCCATTTTATTATTACTTTTCATGAAATCTCTCAAATACTACTTAAGAGCAACATAATTGCACAGAAGGTTACGGTACATTTGGTATATTTTCTTATATTTTCTGTATGATTCATTTCCATTCTCGTTGCAGCCTTGAGACAGCACCCCCAAATTCATCGAGCAATGTATGAGTTTCTCAACGGGTTGGTAGCTAGGGTTTCAAACATATGAAAACTTAGCAAAAGGAATAGAAAGGTAAATAAGAGGGCGGAAGAAAAAAAAATTGTGCCATTACACCTCCTGTCAGGAAAGGCAGGCTCTTGGTATCACTGTATCCACTTCCCAAGCCTGTACGATAGCACCGCCCGTATCGTATCACAACAACCCCAACTCCCCAAAGCCATTTACAACTTCACGATCAACATTAATCAGCCACTCGTCTCTAAACTTGTCCATCCCACCGCACGCCCCAACAACTCCCCGCAGATTCTCTGTGACAAAGTGGCGGAAATTGATCTTATGCACAGGGTCGGCATTGCTCCAAGCCCGTCGGCGGGTGGTTTCGGGCGACTCGTTGCTTTGATATTTCCCATTAGTTTGATCTGCTGAGTCTGTGTTCCAGACAATGAGATAGTCGCCGCCTCGCGGATCGTTAGGATCATAGTCGGTGCCTTCGGATAGTTCTCTGATAAGGTCGGTCCACACAACAAGATAGGACTGGAGATGTTTGAGGAGGTAGGCTGGGGGTGATATTGAATGGCCGTTTATAGAGAGGAGGTGTGTTAAAGCCAACGCGTGTAGCTTTTTGCGGTTAATGTCGCCCACGTTATCAAAGTGGGAGAACCACTCTGTCAAGATCCAGTTGACGGTTTCTTCTTCGGATGAATGGCTCATGGAAGATACGGCGGAGGAGATAAATATTTTGGGGCTGCCGAGGGCAATCCGTGCGAGGACAGAGAAATAATCCGTTTCCACAACGCCGTCGACGCCTGGGGATTTTTTATTTGGCCCGGTGGTGAGGTGGGCTTCGTAAGTCTCACGGAGACCAGAAAGAAGTGTTAGTAGGAACGAAGAATCCAGAAGAGATTTGGCCACAACTGAATAGGCTTGTTCGTTTCCAGGATCCACAAGCTCTACTGCTCGGATAAGCAGTTCGACAAGATGCGGAACCACTCCAATTCGCTGTCGCGTAGTCGAACTAAGGAGGGCTTCCAACGCAACGAGCAGCCGGAAGCGGATATTGTCGTTGAGCATCTCCTGAGGGGAAAGAAGAATATAGGACTCGGTAACTTCTAAAGCCTGGCGGAGACTTTCGGTGCCAATATCGAAAACAGGGAAGAGATATGGTAAAAGCTGGAGAAGTTCCGGCGACGCTGGGGAAGGAGCTTGCATGAGAACTGCAGACCACAGGTCCAGGGCTTCCTCTAATAGATAAACCAATGCCTCCTATTGATTATTAGAAGGATGCTGGTATAAATATGGAAAGGGCATGCATACCGATCCAGGATCGACAGATTTTTGGATGAGAGGAATGATTATCTGATGATATCGGACCGAGTCTTGTTTCATGGAATGGATTAAGGAAGAAAGTAGCGTGAGGATTGCTTGCTTCATGAGGTTTTCTTCACTTGATTGTTCCCACAATTGTGGTAATAAAGAGACAATCTGGTCCGCATACGGGGCAATCTAGTATATATCAGTATCCTGAGTTTGTGAGGCATGTTGAAGCACGACGTACATGGTCTTCCATTTTCACTATAGCAATGCGAACCGTTCCAAGAAGTGCCATTTTCGTTTCTGATAGACTAACTTCGCTAACCAGGTCCATGAGGCTCTGAAGTGTGGGAGTCGCGTAGGGCAAGAACCGCTCAATGCTGAATTCAAACGGCTCCAACACATTTTTAAGTTGGCGGCCCGCAGTGACCCGAACAACTTGGTCATTAGTAGGGTCACTTTTGTTGAGTAAATGTTGAAAAACTTGGTAAATTGACGGCATGTCTAATTCGTCGGCTTTCACGGGTACCCATTGTCCGAGCAGTATTGCTATCCTTCGCCTCAGTAGATTATATCCTGGATGTTGGATTTGAACCTCTGGAATAAGAGTAGATGATAAAAATGCATTGAAATCAAGCTGCTTCTCTAAAATTGCAGCACCAAGGCCAATAGCGGAATAAAGGGAATCTTTCAAGAGAACTTCCTGATTCTGAGGGTCTAGACGATGTTAAGAAAATGTTATGTTGTAAACCCAAGTGGTGGATAGACTCACTGGCATAGGAGTAAAATACGTGTAGTAATTTGGGGACAAGAAGTTCCTTAAAGTGGATGAGGAGATCTAGAAAAACTTTTTCAGAGCAAGAACGGATGGAAAAGTCGTATGCATCTGTAATCTCTTCCTCACGCTTCTCCCATTCTTCGGGATCTTCCTCCCATTGGCGAAGGTCGCTTGCTCGAAAGACAAAGAAACGGGTTATAAGCAGTTCCATGACCTGGACTACGAATTCGTGGGTGAGTAGCTGAGACTTGATTAGTTCGATAGATTGACTTTTCTCTTCTTTGTCCTGAGCATGTTGATATTTGAAGGTGTGCGCGGGATAAAATGCCATTTTGATACATGTCCGCAAGATAAGGAGGCCCTTCAAGGCAATCTTTTCTAGGAAAGGGGTTTCGTCGTCATCAGCGTCACCGTCAGTTCCAATTGCGACTCGAGACATGTCATTTGGGTCGTATAATTTCGCGAGCTCAACCACCAGTCCCCAGTATGATCGAGCAAGGTCAACGCAACCTGGAAACAAGGCGAATGCTGCGGGATGGTTCTTAGCCATCTCTAAATGGAGCTTGGATAGTTGTACAATATGTCTTTCAAGTAATCTTGAGACATTAGGTGCCAGCTCCGATGATTTTCGTTCCAATAAAGAGTAAAAATTGCCCAGATGAGTAAGGGATAGGGCCCAAAATTGCTGAACATCGTTGTCCCTATTAGGATGCTCGAAGCCTGCAACTATCAGCCGGCGCATGGTCTTCAGCGTGATGAGGCTTTCATCCAAAGCTTCCAAAGCTCCACCCTCGTCATCCCCACTACTAGCCTCTAGGAAGGTTCCCCACTTGTTGACTTTTTCAACATATATATTGGCAAGAATGTGAAATATCTCCGGCGCAACCGTGAATAGATTCCTTTTAATCCGCTGCAATCTCCCCGTGGCGAGTTCTTTGATTATATGCAAGAGGATAAGAAGTGTACGGGGAAGTTGTAACGGGTTGCTGCCAAGTTGGAAGGATGCTCGAAGCAATGTAATCACGGACGTAATCGCGTCGGGCCTGAAAATACAAGTAGATTAGCAACAAACCCCCGGCACAGAAAAAAGATGGGCGCTTATCCTACCATTCTAATGGGAACTCTAACCGCACTATCTTCGCAATCATCAGCGCATTGTGAAGAGCAAGTTTGGCGTCAGGTTCGACAGCTCCAGCCTCCAGGGCTCTTGATCTGATCCGCACTTTCTCCTCCGGCTTGATGGCACTTTTGTTGTTCACAGTCAGTATATTTAGTAGTGTGACACAAATACTGGAGCTTACTTGGGCGCAGTCTTCCTCCAGTACTTATCAATGCCATTTTTAAGCTGGATGATCGACAGGTAGCGGACTTCGTTTGGGAGGGAGTAATCAACGAAGATATCCTGCAATTACATGTTAATGCATCTAGAACCATAAGTGTTTCCAACGACGTATTATGCATACCTGTAGCAACGAAAAGTAATTTGCTTGTTTCTCCCAGTTCTGAAGCTGCTGCCCACCCGTGATGACCTGCTGCTGCGTTGAGCCTGCAGCGGAGACCAAGGCGTTGAAGATATTTTGACGCGTGAGGGGATTCGCCTCTCCGGGCAATTCTACCATTGAAGCCATGGGCAGCGGAGGTGAAAGGACTGGAACCGGTATATGTCGTTATAAACTTGAGGAAGCTTGGAGGGGAGAAACGCCCTGACAATTTCATTGTTGATCAAAACTATCAAACGCACCCCACCATTTTCCTGCCATGACAAACCCCCAAAGAAATGAGTGGCACGTTACAGTTCAGTTAAACTAGCGTTGGAGCTCGGACCAACTCGATACTTTTGTCCTCCAACAACATTGTAACCAATGCCGCCCGTAATGGGTATATGTAGTGCTCAACCTATGTTGTTTTAATTCTGTTAGCTATTAACCAACTTCATGTTTGTGAGCCTAAAGGCTTTACTAGCTAGTGGTAATTGCTTCAGTAAAATTGCAAGCTTTCCTCTCCGAGAACTTTGTAACTAGGTACAGTTCAAACCCCAATGTCATGTGACGCTCGACCTCGGCTGCTCATGCTCCGGGTATGTCATTGAGTCTACCGACTCTCCCTTTCCAACGGCCTCAGAACACTTGAACAAGTCCTATCTTTGCTAAAGGGCTTGGGATAGCCGGCAAATCAATCAAGAACGATGACACGATGACTCCGACAAATTTCGCTGCCGCGCAAGAGCGGATTTTGGAACGTCGGCGTCTCCGTGAAGCAGAAGCGCCAAGTCGAATCCCGGAACCAAGCACTCGTCTTCCCGCAGCTATTGGGAAACTTCCTTATCCGCTCTCAAGAGCCTCCGATGCTGGGATTATGTTATGGGATACAATAAAAGGAAGGGAAGGCACGAAGCCCGCGTTTAGGGTGGGTCAGGTAGACGCGGAGTTGTTGGATGAAGAGCTCCTCGCACTATTGAAAGCCCAGGTTGGGGAAGGATTAAAATACTTTGGGGTAAGGTTCACAGTCCTTTGCTCTTATTTTTATAAGATGTCCGTTTTATATTTTTGTGTGTGTTCAGGAGGCTGACGCTGTTATTCTTCTTCTGTAGAACCACATAAAGGAAGATTGGACGCACGAGATCCAGTTCGCACTGAGGGCAATCCTCTTTAAGCTCTCCATATGGGATCACAATGCATCCTACGGTGCGGCTCTACAAAATCTCAAATATACAGATAGCCGGAAAAAGGGTCCCACACTCTCGGATCCCACGAAATGGCAAAAAACATTATACGGCCTCTTCACAGTTGGGGGCCGCTATACCTGGGATAAATGGGAGGCCTGGTTGATTGACCAGGAAGGCGGATATGATGAGGTCCGTTCAAGAGCGATTTTAGTTCATTCGATGAACTCCGACGCTAATATGCAAAAATAGCCATCCCCCCGGGTACGACTTTTGTCTAGGATTACAAATACCATTTCAACCACGCACTCAATTGCGGGCTTCGTGTCGTTTCTCATCTTTCTCGCCAACGGACGATATAGGACGCTAATCGATCGCGTGCTACGTATGCGCCTCGCACCTCCATCTACCCAAGTCAGCCGCGAAGTCTCTTTTGAATATCTAAATAGGCAACTCGTGTGGCACGCGTTTACAGAGTTTCTATTGTTCTTGCTTCCTCTCGTCGGTATCGGGCGATGGCGGCGTTGGATCTCAAGGGCTTGGAGGAAAACTAAGTCGTCGCTGAGAGCAACTGATGAGGGGGACGAGCAGGCTAAGGGCCAAGGGGAGTTGGCGTTCTTGCCCGAAAGGACATGTCCGATTTGCTACCAGGAACATAATCCAACAGCCACCTCCGAAAGTGACGTGCTGGGGGCATCTGGAGCCTCAGGAGGGATAATAGGCTCTGCACAGACTGATGTTATAAATCCATACGAGACCATGCCATGCGGATGCATATACTGCTTTGTCTGCATTGCCGAGAAGCTTGAAGCAGAGGAAGGCGAAGGCTGGATTTGCCTTCGATGCGGAGAAATTGTGAAGCAGTGCAAGCCTTGGAATGGTGATGTTCTCGAGGAGGTAATACCGTCGCATTCAACAGGCAGGAAAAATGTGGGATTTGCAGCCATTCTTCCAGACGATGAAACTGAGGTTTCAGCTCATGCTGATAATATCCCTGCCATGTTCCCTGACGGCGACGACGACAGCATGCAGGAATCAAATCAGTGGTCTGCGGTCGAGAAGGATTTAACCGACGACACGAGCATTGGATCTGAAATTAAGGGCTAAGGCCCGTAAGTAAATAAATAAATAACTACCAGCTTGGAAAACATGGCCTTCGAATTATCCGGACCAGCCAAATGTTGAATATCTCTCCCCCTTTCTACTTGTATATACTTCGTTTTGACATTATACCCATCCCTACCCCATACTTGGCGTTTCCAAAATAATTACAGTGTTGATGCCCCTCCTCCATACACGCCTGCAACTTGTTATCATTTTCTTTCTCTTCCCTGTCTCCCATCAATCCCCGCCGTCCATGTCCCGCAATATCTTCTACGAAGACAATTCTAGGTTTAGCGGCCCTAGCTATGAGAGTACAATATCGATCTATTTCCATGTACCGGTATCTTTTCTCTAGGGCATAATATAGCTTCGTTGCATCTTGTCAAGAATACATGTGTCTTCCAGCCCCTTCACCTTCGTGGCTGACCGCAAGTGCTATATCTATCCACTTTTTATTTTTGTGTATCATTTTGGACAAGTGACTCAAGCATACATGGAGCTTTCATTATCCATTATTTGTAGTGGTTCTAGAGAGATCGCCCACTCAATATAGGTTTGTGTCGAAGGGGAAAAAAGACGAAGATCGGAAAGTTGGGGGAAACTAGGGGGGGGGGTTTATACTTTTTGCGTGCGGCTCTTAATTCCTTTTCCGGCATACCTACCATGACTGTCCGCGGATCCGTGAGACAACCAACTCGTTCTCGTTCTACGTCCGTAGGTTCCTTGCACATCCCGCCCTCGGCCGGCAGCTCAAGTTCTTCTACCGCCGCTTTCCCCGAGGCCCCGAGCCCCCGAGCTCCCGGTTCCCGTTCAACCCGTCATTCCTTCTTCCCCATATTGTCCTGCCCCATCGTCCACCCGCGCCCGCACGCAAACCTGAGCTTCCAATAAAATCGCTTGCGGACCAAGGCCGTTTCCCCGCGCCACAACCGTCTCTACTTCGTACACCAAGCTATGTTGGATCCCGCGGAGGCGCGGAGGTATGAAACCCTATTTTATCTGCACTTTGTAATCTTGGTGTGAGATGTTCTTCCGTCTGTTTCGCTGTGTAGTTTAGTAAAATTCGTTCAGTTTGTGTTTGGCATTGAGGTTGTGTTGCCTTTTGGGGGAATTTATTAGGACCCACCCCAACCAACCCAAGGGGCATGCCCAGAGGCTAGGTTGCTGTGATTTTTTTGGCTAAACGGGCCGAGCCGTCACAACCTTGTCTCCTAAGGTGGCTTGCATCAAAACCACCAGTGCACCACATCGCCCGCCGCCCCCGACATAGCGTTTGTTGGCAATGAAATATTGCCAGATGAATATTTAAGCCACACCATTTAGTAAAGGCCTAAAGAATGGTCTATCAACATTAAATTGGCATATCTTCTCCCCACTCCGTACATATGCATGCACGACGTGTGCGCATTAAATGGGCCCAACTACCACGAGGCTCCCATCCTGCATTGCATCAACCAAATACGAACGCCACAGGGCTGCTCCTGCACGGTCGGTCGATAAATTTTCTATTATTAGCTGAAAGCTCATGCAAGGCTATCTGGAAAAAAAAAAAGAAAAGAAAAAGAAAAGAAAAAGAAAAAGAAACAAAATCTACTAGTACGCAGCACCCGTGAAACAGGGCAGAAGAATTATGCAGGAGAAACGTAACAAACCACGGTCTATTCCGCTTCTAGTAAATCCTCTTGACTGCGACAAAACCTATTCTGCATGGGGGCTAAAAGGCTGGAGAACCATTTGCGAAGTAGACGAAGTATTCTGGACTCAAATGCACCCCGAACCCTCCACGTGCCCTCTCGGACTGCCGATCTACGATCCCCCTACCCTGACTGCTTATAGTCTGCAGGTTTATATTTTTAAATACCGTGCAGCCCGGCCAATCGACCGGCTGAACGTTTTATTTAGGGGGTTGAAGTCTGAAGACGCTATTTACCAAACGGGACATAGGTCTAATTTTGGAATTGGCTTTCACCGGGCTTACATTTTACTGCCCCTACCATTTTCGTGATGAACATTACTCGCTGGGAGCCTCAAGGGATGTATAGAGAATGGTGAAGAGGAAGGAAGTGTTGAGAAAGGCTGAAGCTCGAGTTTTGATAGCAAATGGGAGGCGGAGGGAGATGGTTCGATTGGAATATAAAAAGTCCTCACTCCCCTTGGTAATGGAGAGTATTTTTTTTTTGTTGAACTCTCATGATCCAGGCGAGACAAGCAAGAAAGAAACGACCAAGGATAGTTAGTTCAATCACAGCGATCCTCCATTTACTTCGTTCGCAAGCTCACGAAGACAACCCACCTTCTATCAATCTGAGAAACAAGCAGCCATGCGGACCTCATTTATCCTTTCTGCCGCGTTCGCAGTTTTTGGCCTCATTCAGGATGGCCTTGCCATGCCGACATCATCGACTCGCTCGGTGCTGGCAAAGCGTGGCGTGAAAGAATGTGATAGCGACCGTGATTACGACGGACCCTACCAGGACGGACAAGGCGTATACATCGAATCCGACAAGATTTCACGTCCATATAAGTTCCCCAGAGTGCGCAAATGCTGGCATGACTACTTCGCTGTAGAAGCGAGTGTGTGGTAATAATATGCGCTCCATCCACTGATACCCATTATAGACAGGGCAATGCTGACAAAAATATCAAAATTTTTAGGTACAAACCCTGGGTCAAATCTTCCGGCAACATTTACTGCACGGGCACCCAGTTGTGCTCTACCTCACACCTTAACGGGACCCAAGTATGCCAATCACGCAGTGAAACAGTCAGCGTCTCAATAGGGTGGAAAATAGACGTTGCCGTGTCCAAGGGTATCGTGCCCGGGCTAAGTTCTGCCGTGGAGTTTTCCTCATCCATCGAGGACTCAGAATGCTACACTGCATCCTCGACGACGACATGTACCTGGAATGACAAGGGTTGTCATACTGTGTGGACCCAGCAGCAGATGGTTCGCACAATGGGGTATGAGCGAAAGCGATGCAATTGGGGTGATGGCGACGTGACGGAGTGTATGCGCTCGTGGGAACAGAATACTCCAACAACTTATACCGATTATGGTTGTGGGAGTAAATGTGAGGATACGAATTATTGCGGGAATACAAACGGGCAGCCATGCCCGTAGGAGGTGAACTTCGGCGGATGAATTGAGGTGTATGCAAGCTGTCAGGGAAGGGTTTATTATTTGGATTTTGATAGTGTTGCAGGAATGAAAGGCAGATTTTCAGTGTTTCAGAGAAAAATGAGAAGAGAGCGTGGCAACCTAATTAGAATATGAGTACGGAGTAATGAATAAATATTTGGTTTGATCGAATCTTTCCAGGAAATTCCAACAAAATAGGAGATTTAGAGGTTAATTTTTAAATAGTAATAATATGATATGTGCAGCAAAAATATAGAACCATGGGTATCCAATGTTGAGAAAAAGAAGAAAACTCACTGCCCCTAAGGCTAGTTAGCTGCTCACTGGTATAGTTTACATAGGAAACGAACTTATGTCTTCCATCGGAAACCAGGATGGCGCCAGTCAAGGTTCTGTATCTGCGTTTGACTGAGACCTGCTAGTTTTACTTCCACATTTTCCTTATCCCTTTTCTTATTATCCAAGTGCATCCAAAAGACCAAAGCGATAGAACAAATAAGAATAGTTGACGACGTGGCTAAGTTGAGGCCGTTGCCGATATGATAGTCCGGAGAATCGAAAGGCAGGAACGACCACGTTGATATCAACCCACCGATGTTACCAAACATAACGTTTGTGCCGATTGCAGAGGACCTAGCCGTGTCTGAAACGACGTTTGCAGAAACACTGGCGTTGGAAAGAGCGCCGAGCGAAAATGCACCACTGGCGATGACGAAAGTCGCACCATATCTAACTTTAGAGTCGTCGCTGGCAAGGAACATGATGTACCCAATCATCACCAATGGTGCACTGAGGATGAAAAATATCAATCGGCGGTTGAATTTCCAGCTGAGGAAAGGGAAAAGGACAGTAAAGAATCCCCCGACGACGTAAGGAGGCACGGTATGGAGTTGCTGGGATACGACGCTGTCGTCAGGATATATTGTTTTGACAATTGTTGGGGCGAAGAATGCAAGGCCTTGAACGGTAATATTGTTCAGAAGGAATATAAATGCGGTGACCATAGTGACAGGGCCGAAAATTCCAAGCAGGGTTTTGCGGGTGTCCAACTTGTCCAAGACCTCAGTGGCTCCGACACGCTCTGATTTGACACGGGCGATGGCGAGATCTTTCTCCTCCTGGGTAAGCCAAAAAGCAGTCGCCGGGCGGTCAGTCAAAGTAACGAAGCTAATCAGAGAGACTCCGCATGTGATGATGCCCTCTATTGCAAATATCATCCTCCATTCATGAAGGCTACCGAAGTTGGATAATTTCAGAATCGCAGAGGCAAGAAGTCCACCAAAGGCGCCGGCAAGGGGAGCCATTACGATGTATAGAGACAAGCGGAATGTCAATTCGCTTCTCCGGTACCACCTGGACATGTAGTAGGCAATCCCCGGTAGCATGCCGGCCTCAAAAATACCAAGGACAAAACGAACACCACAGATTTCATGGATGTTATTCACAAAAGCAGTGGCTACGGAAGTGATTCCGAAACCTAGCGAGATAGCTGGTATGTACCATCCGGGACCTATCCATTTGCAGGCCATGTTGGACGGGATTTCGAAAACGATGTAAGAGACGTAAAATATCGAGAGCACCGTATTATAGTCATAGTTTTTCAGGTTAAGGTCTCTCTCCAGGCCTGCGAGCTTCGCATTGCCTACAAGTCATTTGTCTGTGAGAAAAGGGGACTATAAACCAGGCCTTGACAAAGGAGCAGTGCAGCTCGTACCTATATTTGCGCGATCAATGAAGCAGAAAAGGTACAGAAGAGCGACGGTAGGGACGATAAACAAATCGATCTTCCAGAGAAGTCTGGCTTCGGCAGCTCGGTCAAATTGTACCAGCGAGCGCCCGTAACTATATACGTCACCCGCGTAAAGTGAGAAAGAAAAGACAAAAACAACCCTTTCTTGAAAATTGGATGGATATATTTACTGGTCCGTAGCAGCTTGGCCTCTTTCTGCTACATCTCGAGCTGTTTCTATACGTGCGGTTTCGGGGTCTTTAGGTATTGCATTTTCGGTATATGCTGGAGGTTGTAGGTCGCCATCTTTCTGATCAAGAGCGGAGCCCATCTCGCTGTTCGCCGAGCCAGTTGGCAAATCGAATATATATATATCGGGATGGAAAGTCGAATGGAAAAGCTGACGGCTCAATTATCAGCGACCGACCAGGGGCGTATAAAACGAGAAGAGGGGGAACGAGACAGCAACAGACAGATAGTTTATATCAAACGCATATATTCAGTCGTTGAAAAACGATCAGGTTATATACCCCTCCAAAGCTGCCTCGAAGAGTTCTTTTTTGTGTGTGTTACGGCCATCAGCGAGCTTACGAAAATATGGACGGGCTCAGGACGTCAGGATTGGCTTAGAAATTCTGGGGATGATGCAATTCCTCCCCCGGTTGATGGGGGAAAAGTTGGAAGTTGGCACATGGTAGAAACCGAGATAGATCAGTTTTTTAAAGCAAGTCGAAACCAGAGAATCTCTCTCTTTTCTTTTTTGCCGTTCCATGCAAGCCCCACTCGCCATCCCGGCCTTCGAATGACATCTCCCGCTGACAATGCAACTATGTACCAAATTCTTAAAGATCCACGAACGACCCCAGCCTGTTGAGTATGCGAAAGGAGCTCCACTTCTGCTTTGATGTCAAGCCAGCTCTTTCAGATAGAGCCTTCCGAGTTAAAGAGGGAAACTGTATACATTGAAAACACGCCTGGAGAACTCACTACTTTCATTGCTGGAAAGCGGGCTTAACAACATTCTGAGGGGTGTGCTTGTAACAAGATCCTTTTTCAAGCTTCACTAGAAAGTGGAAATGTGACAGTTATATAGAAGCATGTTACAACAACTTTGAAAACAGCCCACATAAACCATTCAAGTCCAAGCCCAAGCATAACAAAGAAACAACCCCGCCTGCATTCCATTATCCATCCCACAACGTGTAATGAATTATCCAAATCCAAGTGTCGGTCATGTCCCAACCAGTACATATATCCACTTGTGCCGCAGATATACCTCTCATGGGCCTCAAGCCTCTGCTACGGATCAGTGAGTAAACAGGATAAAGATAGAATTGCTTTTATGTCAATGAACACATCACAGTGACTCAGCAACTAAAAGACTTCGAGGGCTTTTTCCGCCTCTTGCAGGAAGATCTGGGGATCCAGCTTAACACCCTTGGGGAAATACATCATTGCCATCACAGAGTGGGTGCCACGGTCGTTGTCGCGCCATTGCTTGATCAATGAAGGCATTTTGCCGGTGTTTAGTTGAAGCGGGAATTTGTGATACTCCTTTCCATCATCCTTGGTGATAACCCCATCATAATCCCAACGAATACCGTAGCGAAGTTGCTCTACGGGCGACTTTGGCCAGACGGTCTCTCCGCGACGAACCGTTGGCTCGAAGAATTTCGTGAGATTTGTGGGGCGCCCACGGACGAAGTCAACGGCGGTGAGGAGGCTTTTCATGACCCGCCAATGATGGTCAACGGCGATTGAAGGGATTGGAAAGTGGTTTGAAATAAATGGGGTCAGGAATCTGTTCGACTGAGGCGTATTGACTTGGATAGGGGATTGAAGCATGCCACAATAGAGCTAGGACATGGCGCGCTTCTACGTTGAAGATAGACGCCCGCTAACTCGTGTAGCAAATGGGATGGCTAGTAAGACACGGCGGGGGAGAGACAACAGGTTGTAAAAAAAGGAGCTCGCCTGCAAATAAAACCCGGGGAAAAGGGGTTGGGAAGGCGGCCCTCTAAGCGCCCCGTCGTAGCCTGACATTACGCAACTAGCGTAGCTAGTGCAGGAGAGATAATGGAGGAAATAAATAATAAAGAAAAACACAATGAAGGACCCTAGTCCACACAACAGTTGACCAACTGGGATATGTCAAGGTCAAAAGAACTCCTCTTTGTCCTGAAATGGCCAACCTTGAGCTACCTTGTCAACCTCATCTGGATCAGCATCATTCAAAAATCTCTCTTTAAGCGCCCGGTTCTTCTCCACCGCGTGATCATAAACCTCCGCCTTCACCCACCCCTCCTCGCTCATTCCGCCGATCTCTTCCCGCCAGTAGTTGACTAGAGTGGTAAAGTCGAACCATGTGAGTTCATTTTCATAATGCTGTTTTAATTCGGCCTCCGTAAAATCTATGGGGCACTTCTCAGTCTAACCTTGAAGAAGAGGCTAGTATTCGCGCATCTAGATAAGAGCGCCTCGTAAGGTCATCAGGTTGCCATTCCCTTGACGGCCGGCATAATCCACAAGATGTTTGCGTGGCTCAAGTAGTGGATCAGCACAAGCAGCCAGGTGGAGCTGGTTCTTCGCCCCATTGAACACGCGATAAAAATAGTACAGGTTTCGACGTCGGAGTAATTCATCAACCTGGGCTTTCGTTTCAGGATCCAGTGACTCATATCCATCTGGAGGCTGAGGGGCATCCAATGTCGGTGGCAGTTCGACGTCGGGGTTTTCGAATAGGTGAGGATGTCCAGAAGCTAGTAATCGAGGCACAATCACCGTATGTTGCCAGTCAATGATCCTCCTGATTTTAGACGTTTCCGGTGATATAAACACGTTGCTAGGGGTAAGATCTTTGTCATTGTAAGCCTCCGTCGAGCTTTGCGCTTTGGATGTCCGCAGTATACATACCTGGATGGCGCAGCGTTGGTGCACTGCCATGGCTTTCTGCGTCATTTGGTAAGAGAAAAGGGGCGATTGCGAGATATTTTTCAAGCAAAGTAGAATATGCGCTGGGGGGAATCACACCCGGTAGAAGTGAGTTATAAGGAAAGTCCTTCTCAAGTGGCTTTCCGAACCTCTTGGTCCATTCTAGTTCTCGTTTCCCAATAGCTGCAAGATATTTATGCGGGTCACGCCCTAGCGATCGTCAGCTTGCGTCCCAGAAGCATCGATTGTTTCGACGGAATGATTTTCTTACATGGTCCACGATCCACTTGCATCTCAGCACGTTTGCCATGTCAGAACATGTCATCTGCGATTGGCCCAATGCAGAAGGTGTCGGAATCTCCAGATGGATCTTCGACCCCAGTAGCGTAGAGGTCAGCCTGCAGTTCAGGAGGGATATCCTTCTTGAAATATAAGCTTCCGAATGAGCCAAAGGGAATGCCGAAGAGTTTCCTCTCGACTTCGACTATTTCAATAGCCACAGTACGTTGCTCTCGCTTTGTCAAGTCGAACCATTTGGTGTCTAGGCCAATGCCAGGAGCGAACTCCATGACGATGTATTCAGCCCCAATGGCGTTATCGGTCGTCGCTGACCACCCATAAACCTCAGGAACGGGGACGCCCTTTGATCGAAGAAACGTGAGGGTTGCGACCTCGCTGGCGGTGGCATATTGTTTGGGGACTGAGATGTGGTATGGAAAACAATCATCTAAAGTAAGAAAGGAAAGCCCGATTGAAACCGCCCTCTGCAAGTTTCGTGAGGTTGGTCACCCTGCCACGACCTGTATGTTTACAGACTGCTTCCTTGAGTGCTGCAACATTGAATTCAACATATCTTTCCTCGAGACGCTTCTATTCGTTGTAGAGGAATCGCCCTGACGTGTAGGAGAAGAGGACTCTTTGAATCCACTAGTCCAGACAGATATTAGCGAAACTCATGAACAGGGCGCTGGGCGCCTGGCCTGATCGAGGTCTGGAAGGAAAGAATGCGGAGTGGCCTCATAAAAAAACCTAACAGCAATTAAATATCGAGTGCTCTTCTAGAATTATTGTGGCGGATGTAAATACCCCAAGAATTCTTGACAACCAGCGTTGAAGGCCACAGGATCGCGGAAGCATGTATTTTTTGTAGAAGGGCATGGTCGATTGCACGTTTATTTGTTGGTTCTCGGCGCAGGTTGGCGCTACGCGATAGTTAGATCGTCATACTGGGGTTCATTAGGACATTATTAGGAATCTACTGTTACGTTTGCATCTAAATTACTATTTATTTGAGACCCGACCATTGCCACGCTGATACGCGAAGTCTGGAAGACGACGCTTCTCACAGAAAGTGACAGTAGCAATCCAATGTATTGGTCTCACCATTATCCGCATTTTCTGAGTCTTTGTAGTAAGTTAGCGTTAACTTGCGTCTTGACTGGGGCAACGGTCTCTTCAACAACACTTTTGTCCCTACGCAAAATCTTGTTCAAGCTTAATAACGGTTGTATTTTAGTCCCTTGCAAGTGGTCCAATTCTCATGGAGTAGTATATATGAAACACTTCCCCAGAACTTAGAGTCAAGAAAGAAATATTCTTGAGTGAGACTCATCATGATCTATCTGATTCCGGCATTAGTTACACAACATCAAAATGGCCCAAACACCCCAGCATGACCATCCACTGAACAGAGGGCCAGCATTGCGACATTCAGCTTCTGTGCCTTCGCTTCATCCTGGAGTCCTCAACCATGACACCAATTCTTTGACCACCGAATATTATATCGCTATCCTCGAGCACCTGGAAAGATTGCGCTAGAACGAAGTGGGAGTACTCCAGAGAAGGCTGGATAGTCGTAGCAAGGAGCTTAGGATTATTCGATCGAAACACGAGGAAGATTGAGAAGGAAAGGAGAAGTCAAGTCAAAGAGTGCGAGAGAAAGAACATTAAAAGGAACAGCTGGCAGACCGTGCGAGCCGTCTCAGTCGGACCAACACAGAGTTGCGCAAGAAAAGCATTGCAGCCAAAAAAGAGATGGAGGGATTTAAACAGGAGATGGATGTTGAAAAGAGAGATCTAAATGGATGCCGTTGATCGGGAGGTACGCAGATCAGGGACGGCACTTACGAGGAAGGTCGATCTCCCCTCGACGCATCGATTGCTACCAGTGCCAGAGACGACAGAATCATGGGTCTAGTAGTAGTAGTAGAGTAGTGAATGGGCCACCGGCGTCAGAAGCCGAAAGTAGGAGAGGATCCAGAAGGGCCAAGGTGAACCTATAGTTATCTACCGGCTCTGTAGGAACCCTGATCAAAGGCTTTGTGGGGTAATTGGCAGGCATTTGGCTAACTACCATAGGCTGTACGGAGTGCGATTTCACCCAAATGTCATTTTCAAACCATGACAGTCTACAGCGATGGCGAACCAATCATTTGTGTTGGCTGCAGAAATTAACTTTAAGTTTTCCTCTGTTATGATAGGTATGATAGGAAGGTGAAAGTTCTTGGGCCACTTCTAGCGAACGGGACGGCCCGGAACCTCACCAGTCGATATAAGTTCATCCAGGGGGAACAAGGCTGCTACTTTTAGGTAGTCCAGCTGCCTAGCTTACTGGCATGACTCCTGGCACTTTCTATTAGCGTCTCTTGATGTATGTGCACTTGATATATTAATGAATGCGGATTCAAGTAATTCTGTTGCCACAACCATACTCTACACCCTGTTATCCTGGGACATGATTTTGTCCATGCTGCTGTTGTCAAAGCAAAACCTATCACCAGCAAATTCTTTGCTTCCTCTTGATAATATCAATATGTTTCAATAACCCTTGTGTACATTCAGAACTGCCAGTTCTCTGTAGCACAGCTGTTTCAAAGAACACAGGATATCCACCTGAGTGGGCCCAGTCGATCAGCCAGATCTTCCCATTTTCATCAAGGATTATGTTGTGAGTAGTAATGCCCATGTGGCACATAACAAGCTTGCGGAATTTGCCAGAGAACCAAGGATGATCGTCTGAAACACGATTGAATTCTTTGCATACGAAGAGATACTCATTAAACCAAGCTTCCATGTGCTGAGCAGTCAGGAATGGTCCAGCGCTGTAATCAATAAAGACCGGACCCAGCGAGACCCCACCACCGACCACAAAGACACTCGACAATTTGGGCTTGCTCAGAGGTTCAGACCTCGTTGGTGAGCGTTGGCCAGATGTCGTACAAGGGGTTACCACTGATAAACTCCATCAGAAGATGTCCCATCACCTGTCCCTCCCCATCGTAAATTTCAGACCGCTCTTCCCATGCATCATTCTCTTATGAACAAATTTCATTTTTCTCACCTCAGCCAGGGACACCCCATTACTGTACTTTAGCACAGCAGATTCGTGAACTCGCACTAAAACTGCACCTTCCTGTTTATGGACAACTGGAGCGGAATGTATAGCATCCAAAAGGCAGTTCTGAGAAATCCCCTGGATTTTGCATCCAGTCAGGGGGAAGGGAAGTATCATGACAATAGCGATCACTGGCGGTCTTGATGGCTGGGTTTCGGTAGAGACAGGCTACGGAGGGAGAGTCGCAAGCGAGCAAGAAAAGCGTCGTTTCTTGGGGGATTGTATACAAGAAGCTCTTGTCTGGGAACTACGGCGTAATGGTATTGCGCTATTTAATTGTGGCCTAGTTCAGAAGTAGTTAGTTACCAATCAATAATTTCTCAGAGTCTCATATACTACTGCGTATAATCAATTTGCACCTGGTTGGCAATTATACTGGATTATCAATCACGCTATTGTCAATGCTTATATTCTTCATCAATTGACAACTACTGACACTGACTCTACTCTATCCAACGTTCAGTTTCATCAAAAACTCTATCATCAATTCTTTGAGTTCTTAAATCCTCTACCCTTCACATGATCAAATTTCTGTCATTTGCTCAAGCTTGTGTCTGATATCAGTATGAAAGAAAGACAGCAATGATGAATAAGATAGAGCTTCAAGTTCAAGATCTAAATTGTGCTGTATGTAATAATCTTCCTCTCTGTCTGAAAAGCTGGTGTTGGCAGGAGTTTCTAAATTACACTGAAACATGCCAATACAGCTGATCTGTCATATAATCCAGTAGTTTTCGTGTATTTAATACGCTAATGTACACGTTAAAAAACCACGCTAATTGTGCCTCGTCGCCAGAAGACGTGCTGTAGTCGGCCTTCCTCCGTCCCTGGAGAAGAGCTGTTGGAAAAGCTCTGCAAAAAATTACAGCATGGAAGGGCCCAAGTAGCCCAAAGAGATGAGACTTCGTAAGTGCAGACGAAATTTCGAGATGGTTCTTTTCACTGACAAGGCTTAGCTGGCCTACACAAATGCCCGTTTTTTGTGCACAATTGATCTCAATCTCAGCAAATCAACATCAACTTAATTGTCCATGTCAAATAGCTTATTAGAAGTCTACCACTTGCATAATTCCTTGAGGTCATATTTGCGGTTATGCTAGCCCCCGCACCGCCAACTGTGGTTGGTTGTGGACAGACAAGCATGGGCCAATGGCGAGGTGGGTTTTCATGCTTACCAGAACTGTATAAGTTACTCCTCCCCGTCATGGCCGATGTTGCCGGTCACTACAGGGGCCCCTACGAGCAGGCCGAGTTTCGCGACGTGCGTTGAGTGCGAGGTATGCCGGCCAAGAGATGCGGGGCACAACCGGGAGAGGGAGTTGTTGTTGAAAGGGATGGTTAGGGGTAACTATTTTCGAGGTTTTTCTCCTCACATCAAACCCATAGTTATAGCTCTATTTGTTTGGATTTTATTTTGGTTTGTTCCATGGTTGATGTCGTTCCAATCCCCCGCCATTAGCTCGGTAGTTATCTTTTTAATCGAATCAACCAAGTCCTATCCAACTCCGCTGTAGGAAAATTTGCTCCCCGGCTCTCAATAACAATTAATATATATATATATATATTATATATGTATATTTGCTACAAATCGAATTGCTGTCGCAAATTTGGTTTCCATCCCGGGCTTCTACAA